CGTACCCTGGAGTGTGGAGATGTGATTTCTATGGAGCTGAGAGCCGCCTCCGTTTTCAAGCAGGACCTAATGAAGTGGCTGGTCCAGCTCTGGTTCCTTCCTCCACATGATCAGTGGCACGCACATCAGCGGCAGGGAGCCTGGGCGGCCCCCGGGGACAGTGCGGGAGCGCGGGGATCTTTCTTTCACTTTCTCATTGTTAAGTGTTAGCAACCTGCCCACACGCGATGTCCTTGCAGGGCCCCCCAGGGGAGTGTGAAGGCGACCTTCAGGAAGCCCGGAAAAACCCACAGAGGGACATGCAGTCCCAGCCACAGTGCCGAGGAGCTCCTGTCGCGGCGCTCCCTCAGCGACATAATGTGGTTGGCTGTGCCCATCCTAGTCACAGGCAGGGTGTGCGGGCGCTGTGTCCCTGCTCACAGGCTCAGAGGCGTGTGTTGGCAGAGGACGGGGAGTCGGCTGTGGTGGCAGACGCCCCACCAGCTGTGGGTGGGCTGGGCCCCAGGCTGGCTCTTTCTTGTCTCTGCCCGCCGCGCCCCGTGTTCCGCTGGCTGAGAGTGGGCGGCTGGAGGTGTGTGCCTTGTGGGGACGGTGGCTTGTGGCAGGGGTGAGGAGGATCTCCGGAGCAGCACGTCCTCTCCATGGAGCACATTCTCTGCACTGTCTGGGCTGAGGCGGGGCCTCGTCTGGGGTGGGTTCTGTTTCTGAGTGCCTGCGGACAGGTTGGGATGTCCACTGCCTTTCTTGCCGTGGGACTGACCAGAGAGCACTTAACGGTGGAATTCTAAGTATTGGACCGAGGGCTGCTGAGAATTCTTTGGATGTGGGGTTGGTGGGGCACCTGTGTACTGGGGATGAATCGGGGTCATCTGGGTGGCTGTGGTCAAAGAAGTGACAGACCTATGAGTCCAAACCACAGCCGGGCTTCATCCTGTGTCTTCCGCTGAGCCTGGGCCGTAGTCCCTCGGAGATGGGGCGGGCTTGGCCATAGGAGTCCGAGTAAGCAGGGAAGGGGTTTGCCTTGTGCCTGGAGGTGCTTGGGGCGTGGCTCTCCCTTGACCATGCCTCTGCTTTGATTCTGACTTAGTGATCTGGGTCCTGCCCCTCCCCCTGCAGTGGGCGGTCAGGGTCACCTGTGTCTCTAAAAAAAAGTGGTCCTCAGATGCTGGCGTTGTCCAAGTTTATGCGTTTGGAGTCTTTGGAAACAGGGCGCATGCTATACTTCCGGGGGAGCCCAAATAGCACAGAGCCAGCTGGCGGCCCCTCTCCTCCCTCCTGCCGTGCAAAGCTTTTAAATTGTCTAGGGTCTCGATACGCTTATAGTTCTGAGTTTGTCTCTAGTTCTCTACTGTCCTCCACTGCCCTGACCTCTGACCTTGTGAAGGTGTGCAGGGGCCGTCCCCGGTGGCCATTGCCCTCTCCAGACCGTCCGGGTTGGCCTTGCTGGGACCAGGGTTGGCTTTGTCCAGAGCGGCGGCAGCAGGCTCACTGGGGCTGGCCCCTATTGACCCGAGAGCGTGGAGCCTGTGCCGTGGCTGCTTCTGTTCCGTGTAGTCTGGACTTCTGAAGGCTCAGCCGCATGACGGATAAATGGCAAAGCAGTAGCGGGATGGGGTGCAGGGCTGGGGGGCGGTCAAACACGGGCTCTGCGAGCAGGTGCTGGTCTGGTCATCCCATCCCGGGTTCCGAAGGGCAGACACCTGCCTCCCCCCCCCCCCCCCCCCCCCCCCGCCTCCCGCCCCGTGAGATACAATCTCCTGTTAGGCTGATAAGAAAGGCGCTAACAAGCTCTGAGCACCTGCTGTGTGGGCCTTTCTCAGGCTGGCCAGGGAAAGTGTGTTCTCCAGGCTCAGGGACGCTCTCCAGGAGTGGAGGGGTGGCTGCCCCATCAGGGAGAGGTTCGTTCTGGCTGGACAAGAAGAGAAGTACAGGGAAGCCCAGGGCCACTGCTTCCTGTGAGAGCCCCCCGTGAGACTGAGGGCAGGTGTGCGTGCAAGGCTGGGCCGTAGCTTCAGGGGACACCCTGGTGGCTTCCTCCACTGCGCCCCTTGCCCAGGGCCCCACCCCAGCCTGGGCCCCTCCTGTGCTGGCTGCTTTTCTGTGCTCCCCCGTGTTCCATCCCAGCTGGGACCTCACTGCCCCCCCATCCAGCCCCTCCCTCCCACCCCCCACCTGCCAGAGAACAAGGGTAGGCTGCTTGGAGGGCCTGCTGGCCCATAGAAATGAGTCGCTGCTGACCCCTGGCGTCAGGAATGCCCACCTGCAGGAATTGCTAGAACCAGCGCGTGAGCCGGCAGCCCGGGGATGGCGGGTGGGATGTGCAGGGCAGTGGGCAGTGATGACCGGGCCGTGGGGCTGCACAACAGACTCTGGGGGGATGGCCAGTTAGGAGTAGATGGGATCGGGTGGTGACCTCGAATGTGGACCGTGTGCTGTGTGTGCCAAGGGGCTGTGGCTGGGCACCACCTGGTCAAAGCTGGCTCTAGGGAGATGTGGTTGGCGCAGTGTGGAGGGCAGCCGAAGGCAGGAGACTGGCAGAAGAATGGGTTCAGGATCAGGAAGATGTCCTGGGTGTGGACAGGTGGGGCTTGCTCACCCTATGGCCTTTCATTCCCTCATGCCATCAGTGACCCGAGTGCCCCGCCCAGTGCCAGGTGCCAGGTGCGCAGGAGGCACTGGTCAAGGCAGGCGAGGCCCGTGGGGAAGGCGTGACAGGCAGGGGTCCCAAGAGTGAGTCCTGTTGTGGTGTCATGGTGGAGGGTCAGGGAAGGTCCCTAGGCCGAGAGCTATGTGCCGTGAAGGGCAGCCCTTCCCGGGGAGCGGATCCTGGCGGCCAGGGTGGCGTGGAGCAGCGTTGAGCGGCATGGTGGGCAAGCAGGGCTCGGAGCCCACCTCTGTGCGGCGGGAACTCCCGAGAGCCTGAAGCAGGGTGCGAGGCCAGCCCAGGAGCACAGCAGTGGCCAGGCCATGGGTCAGGGAGAAGCGGCCGCTGTCCCCAGCGGTAGAACCTATCAGACCCGCTGCTAGTGTTTGGAAGTGGGGGTTGAGGGAGGACAAAGGCAAAGTCGCAGACCTGGGGGCCAGGTGCAGGTGGCGGGTGGGGGAAGGTGCGCTTGGGCAATTCAAGAGCTGCTGCTGAAAGGGAGGCGTGAGTGGGTGAGGGTGGCACACATCACTGGCTTGAGGAGCAAAGGTTGCTGGCAGTGACCGTGCTTGCGCAGAAGCAGGGGAAGACGGGTGGGGCTCTGGAGGGACACAGGTAGGTCAGGCGCTCAGAAGAGGCTGGGCTAGAGAGGGATGGAGGGCACTGGATCGTGTGCGACCCCCTCCCCCGGGAGACTGTGCAGGGAGAGCCTGCACATTAGAACTGGGCGGCCCCCGGGGACAGTGCGGGAGCGCGGGGGTCTTTCACTTTCTCATTGTTAACTGTTAGCAACCTGCCCGCACGCAATGTCTTTGCAGGGCCCCCCAGGGGAGTGTGAAGGTGACATTCAGGAAGCCCGGAAAAACCCGCAGAGGGACATGCAGTCCCAGCCACAGCCCTCCCATTCACACTCTGCATGCCTGCCTCCCCCATCCCACCCAGGCTGTGTTGGGTTTCTCCCCTTTCAGCATCTGTTGCTCATCAGGAGCCATATCTCTCATGTTCCCCAGCACCCCTTTAAAGATTTTATGTTACAATTTATACACAGTAAAATTCACTCTGCATTAGATTTAAGTTTTTAATAACAGTATGCGCCGACATCGGTAATGTCTGCTTTCATCCGCTGGTCTGACTCAGAGGCAAAGCCTCTTGAACCCTCCATGCAAATTCATGCGGAACAATGCAAACAAGGAGCAGGGCTGAGGGTCTGAGGGTCTGAGGGCTTCCTCTGCCCCAAGCCTGGGTGGCAGAGGCCGGGCATCTTGGAGGGAGGCAGCGTGGCTCCCCTGGGACCGTGCCTCCACTGACTTCCCCAGAGCGGGCCCTAGGAGGGTGTGGGAGCCCTGCCTGCAGTGCCTGGGCAGAGCAGCCCTGTCTGGTCAGGCCCAGTGAGGGATGTGGGGGCTGTGGGGGGTGCTGGTGTGTGTTCGCGTGTCAGACGGGCAGGGGCCTGTGGATGACCGTGGCTGATCTTGTCCAAACATGGTCTCCGTAGCCCCACAAGGGCTGGGTGGGAGAGAGACGTGCCTTGAGCAAGGAGAGTGAGCCTGAGTGGATGGCGGGAAGCACCTCTATTACCTTGAGACAGAGAAAGATCAAAGGTCAGAGTTCACTTCCATTCCCCCATAGGCTTCGGTGTAAAAGTGTTTGTAAGAAACTGCTCCTTCAAGCAAAGTTGGAAAAGTGGATGAGTGTTTTCTAGCAGGGTGACAAGACCATGGCTGGACTCTGCTTGGGTGTGGTTGCCCGGGTCCCGCGGTGGCCCAGGTACAGTTAGGCAGACTGGGGTGGGGGTGGCCCCCACAGGTGCCACGCTACGCCCAGCTCAGGATTTGGCTCCCACTAGCTCCAGGGTACGCTGTGGGGCCTGATGCCCCCTCCCGTGCCCACCGTGTCCCCTGGTGCCTGTCGGCTGCCCACTGTCCCTTCTCTCCCCACTAGCCTTGGCAAGCACAGGCCTTCGCGGTCCCCTGTTGGCTGGCCAGTAGGAAGTCCTTCCCTTTGGTAGCTGGTGGCCAACCCAGAACTTCTGGTAGCATCCTGGAGGACAGCAGCAGAGGGCCCAGAAGGGCAGCGCCTGCTCCCCAATGACCCACGTGGGTCCAGAGCAGCCTGCAGGGCAGCGATTACCAGTGTGTGCTGTGGCATCAGACTGACCGGGGGTTCGGTCCAGCTCTAGGGCCACTGACCACGTGACCCTGGCCGCGGCCCATGTCTACGCTCCCGGCGGCGGCGGCGGCGGCTGCGTCGAGCCTCTTGGTGCCCAGGGCACAGCCAGAGCCCGAAGGGCGGCCCTGTGTGCGCCCCCACCCACCGGGCCCCCGTGCTCAGAGAACTAGGCCGCTGCGCTACTGTGTTCATCAAACTGAACTTCTTTATTAAGTGCCAAGGGTCCGGGCGGGCGCCGTCCCCCGCAGCCCCTCTGCCGAGACCAGCGCTCGGCGCGCCCCCGCCCCGGCTGCAGCGGGGGCGCCAGGCGCGCTCCGGCTGCAGGGTGGCAGCCGCTCACTTGACGTGCTCGGCCGCGTGCGAGGAGCAGTAATACTTCTTGTGGGCGATGAAGGTGGACAGGCTGCTGAACTTGATGTTGCACAGGCGGCAGTACCGGTGACTGCCGGGAGGCGCGGGCGCCGGCGCCCCCTTGCCGGGGGTCTGGACGCCCTTGTCCGAGTGGGAGGGGGGCGGCGGCGGGGGCGGCAGCACCGCCTCGGGGCTCGGGGACGGCGGCGGGCCGGGCCGGGGGCTGTCGTCCGCCGCGCCGGGGGCCGGCTCCCGCGGCTCCTGGCCGTTGAGGCCGTCGCGGGGGGGGGGGGGGCGAGGGGGCCCGGGGGCCGGGGCCGGCGGGGGGCTGGCCCAGCAGCAGGCCGTGCGCCAGGCGGAAGTGCTCGACGAGGTCGCCGCGGACCACGCCGTTGGGCGGGCAGTAGGGGCACACCACGGCGCCGCCGGGCGCGTCCTCGGGGGCGGCGCGCAGGTGGCGCGGGGCGGCGGGGCACGAGAACTTCTTGTGCGCCAGGTAGGCCTCGAGGCTGTGGAAGCTCACGCGGCAGGCCGTGCACTCGTGGTAGTCGGCCAGCGCAGGTAAGCCGGGCGCAGGGACAGGCGCCTGCCGCCGCGGCTTCTTGCTCAGGTCGATGGGGCCGTCGGCGGCGTCGGGCCCGCTGCTTCCGCTTCCGCTTCCGGGCCTGGGCGACGGCGACGCGGGCGGCTCGGAGGCGGGGCCGAGCGGCGCGGGGGGGGGGCCGGCGGCGGGGGGGCGGGGCGGGGCCGGCCGCGTGCAGCTCGTACAGCTTGCGGCGCCTGCGCGTGCGCACGGGCGGCGCGGCAGGCGCACAGGGCGCCGCCGGCGCGGGGGTCCCGGGGGTCCCGGCGGGCGCGGGCCGGCGCGGCGGCGGGTCGTGACGCGAGGCACAGTAGTAGCGCTTGTGCACCGTGTAGGTCTCGTGGCGGCTGAAGCGGATGTTGCAGGCCTCGCACAGCGTCCGGCGGGGGTCGTCGTCCTCGTCCGCCCCGCTGCCCGGGCTCGGGCTACCTGGACTGCCTTCCCGGCCCCGGCCGCCCCCCTCGGCCTCGGGCTCGGCCTCGGGGGTGGCTGCGCCCCCCGCCTCGTCCTCGCGCGTCCCGGAGCCTGGCGACGCGTGCCTCGCATCGGCCTCTGGGGGCGGTGGGCCTGGGGGCGCGCGTGTGGGGGTCGCGGGCACCTTGGCCCTGCGCGCGGGGGGCGCGTCGTCGGGCGGCCGGCGGCCGGAGCAGTAGAGGCGCTTGTGCACATAGAAGTTGTTGACGTTGTTGAAGGTGATGTCGCATTCGAAGCACGTGGCGCCCTTGGGGGCCCCCGCGAAGAGGCCGGCCTGCGACCCCGCTCCCGCCTGCAGCCGGCTGTGCACGAGCTCGGACATTTTGGCCAGGATCTCTGAGGCCGGGGGCGCGGCGGGGAACTGCGGCAGGAAGAGCGCGCCGGCTGCCAGCCCCAGCTCGCCGGGTCCGGGGCTGGAGCCGGGCGTGGGGCTGGTCAGCTCGGCCTTCACCCTGGCCGGAGCGGGGCTGGGCGGTGAGGGTGACCGCGATGCGGCCGTGGGCCCTGGTTCCGCCTCGGGCTCCTCCGTTGTGGCCTCCGTCTTGATGGCCCGGGGCGCTGCCGGGGGCTCGCTGCTGCCCCCATTCTGGGAGGCGGCTCTGGCCTCTCCATTGGTGGTCTCTGCCAGGGCCTTCCTCTCCAGTCCTGGGGATGGGGTGGGCGCCAGGCCCAGGTCGGCAGAAGCCAGGGGGCCGTGCAGGGCCGTGTGCTGCTGGAAGCTGGCCAGGCTGTCTGCAGGGAGACCCCAGGGGCCACACTTCAGGGCTGGAGCAGGACCTACCTGGGCCAGACCTGAGGAGGGGTAGGGTGGGAAGGGGAGAACTGGACTGGGTAGAGGTGGCGGAGGGCCAAGATTGAAATTGACCCCTGGTTGCCATTAGGACAAACCCCATCCCTTCCCAGCCCAGGGCCTCACCTGGGGGGAGCTTGGCAGTGGGGTGTCCGGCCCCTGGTGAGTAGATCTCAGCCTTGGAGCCTGGCTGGCAGACCATGTGGTTGGTCACCAGGTGGCTGTAGAGGATGTCCCTTGTGGTGGAGATGAAGCCACAGCTGTGGCAGACACCTGCAGGCAGGCTGTGGTATCAGGGCCCTGGGGTGGGGTGCCCCCCCAATCCCCTTCCCAGCCCCCACCTACCGCTCAGCGTGTCTGTGTGCACCTTGAGGTGCCGCTCACAGTTGGCCTTGGTGGTAAAGGCCGACAGGCAGATCAGACATACAAAGGGGCGTTCTCCTGGAACACAGGGCTGAGTGAGGGGTGGGCTCCTGGAGCCCAGCTGGCCAAGGACCTGTGACATGGGGGCTCTGTTTAAACCCTGCCTCCTCTGCCCCTTGTCCCCTAGGACTGTGGCAAGGGCCCGGCCCCGAGCTGACCATTCTGATGAGCACCGGTGGGCCATATACTCAGCACTGTGAGGTGCCCTAGGGGAATAACACAGGTCTATCTGGCAGGGCGGGCACCAGGAGCCAGATAGGACAGAAATGCATTGTTGGGTGGGCATGCACACTGCATTGCAGACTGCAGCGGGGGGGGGGGGGGGGGGCCCGGGGGGGGGGGGGGGGGCGGCAGACCGCAGCGGGGTGGGGGGGAGGGGCGTGGTGCTCACCGCTGTGGCTGCGCATGTGGATCTCCAGGGAGCTGGCGCTGGGGCAGCTCTTGCGGCACTGGGGAAAGGGGCAGACGCGCTCGTTGGGGTAGGTCTCCTTGGGCTTGTCGGCGGCGGCGGCTGCGGCCGTGGAGCCGGTGGTCTGGCGGCTGGCACAGTAGTAGAGCAGGTGGGCTTGCAGGTTTCTCTCGCTGCGGTACCAGATTCCACAGTCTTTGCAGGGGAAGACGTCTTCTGTGGGGTGAGGGAGAGGTGGGCACAGGCTGAGGGGGGCGCCCGCAACTCAGGGCAAGGCATGGAGCCTCCAGAAACGGAGGGCTTGGCGCCGAGGGCCCCTGACTTCCTGAGGAGTGAGGTTTGTGAATGGGGCCTTCCCTCCTGGTCACTGGGTTTTCTAGCTCTCCAGGATGCCCCAGGACTGCATGGATGGGGGGTCTCTGAGTAACCCCCCAGGCTGCCTCCCAACAGTGAGCCCCCCAAAGAGATGCCGGAGCTTCAGCAGGCGCCCGCGGAAGGGCTGTGGCTATGCCCACAGGCACCCGAGGGAGGGGGGCTGGCCACGTGCCGGTGATTGTGTGCTGTGAGGGGGCTTGAGGGATGGCGTGGACCTGGGCCCCTGTGGGGGAGGAAACGTGCGTGTTCGTGGGAGCAGGTCTGAGCAGCCAGGTGCACAGGGAACCCGTGAAGCACACGGGGAAGAGAACGAGAGTGGAGCGTGGCTCTGGGCGGCCTAGGGTGGGCTGAGGCTGGGGGGCTGCAGAGGAAGAGCAGCTCGCCCTGTGTCTCCCCTTAGCTCTCCCCGCAGTGGTTTCATATCAAGTACTGATGGGCCAACATTGCTTAATTCACGTTTATCTCAAGACAGGTGGCCTGGGACTTTTCAGTTTATAGGAGCTTAGATTGCGGGGGCTGGGGGGGTTCCCAGCTGGTGAAGGCCTCTGACAGGTGGTTCTCAGGGTCTTTGAGCAGGATGCTGCGGAGTGCTGTTTGTCTCTGCTCCATGGCCCCTTGGCTGAAGACAGGGCAGGGGGAAGGCTTGTTCTGGGCCCTGGGACGTGTCTGGGCTCTAGTGCAGCTTAGGACCCAATTCTTATCCCGGTGTCTCTGAGGTTTATCCTGGGTCCACAGTTGTGGCAGAGGGGGTCCTCAGGGCAGCTCTGTTCTCTATTAGCTGAGGCGCTGAGCTCTGAAAGGCCCCCTGGTGGGTTTGTTTCTGTACCTATGGGGCCAGGGCTGGGAATGGTGCTGCTGGCTGTGGGTGGGGCAGGGGGCCTCAGAGGCCCCTTCAAGCCCTGGCCTTAGCCCTGAGGTTTAGTGAGGACGGTCATGGACCCCTACCCCCAGGGCTGACCACAGCCGAGTCCTGGTGGTGCAGGTAACCTACACAGATGCCTGGTGTTACCACGACCCCGTTGCACAGGTGAGAAAACAGGCCAGAGTGGTTGAGTCTCAAGAATTAAACCAGGTATGATGGACTCTGTATTGAGGCTTTTCTAGCCCACAATGGCAACAAGTCCTGTTTCAGGGTGAGGCGTGGACACCAAAGCCTTAGACTGAAGGGGAGAAAGCTCTCCCAGCACCTCGGAGCGGCCCCACCGCCTCAGCGCTGGGGACGGGACTGACCCTGCTGGGCCACCGTGGGCACCAGATGTTCCTGGCGACCGAGGTAAGGTGGCCGTCCTGGCCCTCCCCGCAACCTGCGTCTGGACAGGGTCCTGCACCCAGTCCCCCACGCTCCCTGGAGGGCTCTGGGGGGTGAATCTCACACGTGCACTCGGCCCTCTCCCCGCCCCCCCGTCATTTCCACCAGCCCACAAATGCACACCAGGATTGCCTGAGTTCCAGCAACGCCAGCCTGTCCCCTCCGCACACTCCGTCTCTCCTGCTCACTCAGCTCCGTGGGCCCGTCTCTGCCCTTGGTCTCTCCACAGCCAGGATGTTGTGCACCCCCGCTGCCTGGCCCCCAGCCGCCTCCAGGGCTCCCCTTTGGTGTCCCAAAGCCATCGGGGGTCAGGGTGCTCAGAGTGGGCCAGGGCAGGTCCCCCATCCAGCCTGTGCTTCCAGCCCTCCTCACGTTTGACTTCCTCAAAAGGTCACTTCTAAGTTCGCAGCCCTGCAGTTGGATCCTACCCCTCACTAAATAAAAGCCCCCCTGGTTGGGTCCCCGTTGCTCTGAGAGGAAATCCTGGCCCTTGCCTGGAACCACTTTGGGAGAACCACCGTGCTGGGCTTGGGCCCCAGCACCCCCAATAAAGTTGGCCACGGCCACCCTATGACCGTGTCCCCACCTTACTTCATGAGATGCGTCGTGCTCGAGGCCACCCCCCCCCGGTCCTCGTAAGGCTGTGCCACTCAGGGGTGGTGGTGCCCTCGGGACAGGCTGGGTGACCCCAGACCCCTTGGTTCAGCGTGGATGGCAGGAGTGCAGCAGAGTAAACCCTACTTCGCAGTGACACTGACTCCGAGAGCATCCCAGCAGGGAGTGAGCGACGGGGCTCTTTCACCCCAGGTGTCTCGGGGTGGTTGTGCCCCCAGGGGACGCTTGGCCGTGTCTAGCGTGTAGACGCAGCCCTGTCATCTGCCGGGGTGGGAGCCAGGCTGCTGCTCAGCATCCCACCGTGGGCATGTAGCCCGCTCTGCTCGAAAGCTGCAGCTGGGCCTGGCTCCCCGCCCAGCTGGTGGGGTGAGAGCACGTGGGGCCCGCCCCTGTGCCCACACTCCTTGGCTGCAGCACGGCTTGCTCTGCTCAGATCCCAGTGGTAACCCACCGTTGTGGGTCCACGGAGCCCAGGTGGCACGGGTCATGTACTCACTGTTGATGACCGCTGTGGCCAGGATGGACGCCATGCCGGCCTGCTGGGGCAGGAGCTGGATGTCTGCATGTGCGGGGGCTGGGCACTCAGGCTCTGCTGGCTCCTCCTTCACAGGGTGGCTGGGGGTGCCCTGGGGCTCGGCTGCCGTGAGCAGCACGTTCAGCAGTCCGCCCGCGGGCACCGGCTTGGTGAGTCTGCACCAGAGGGCTTCATCTGTGGGGGCAAAATCCTCGGTGGCGGGAGGGCCACGGGCGACTCACCCTACCATCCCGAGCCCCTCCCCACGGCCCCCTCCTGGAGACCAGGCGTCTGAAGTCTGAGGTGGGGGATGGAATCCAGGCCCTGGTCAGGGGGTGACCGTCTGGCTCCCTGGGCCTGCCCGCTCCCACCTAGTGGGAGGGCCCTGAAGACGCACGGCTGCCTGGAAGAAGGGTGGCCTGAGGGACAGGCAGCAGGGCCCTGGGCCAGGAGCTAGGAGCTGCCAGGCAGGCACTCCCGCTTCTCACAGCTCCACCAGGAGCCACTGTTCCCGCGGTAGCCAGCAGGGGGCAGCCTCTGCCAGCCACCCAGGCACCCGCCTGCTCACCTCCTGCACCCTGCTTGAGGCCACCAGGAACCCTACACCCCAGGCCAGCCTCGCGTCCGTCAGCTCCCGTGAGAACCTTGTCCTGCCTGGCGGACAGTGGCCAGAGCCCTGCTGACCGGGGCGGGAGGGGCAGGCCAAGCAGCACTAACTGGACTGCTTCCTGGCTGGGTGTACAAACCCAGGGCTGATGGCACCTCCAAGCACCCCTTGATGGGTTGGGGGCTGGGATCCTCCCCCACCCATGGAGGGGGACAGAGGGGTGAAGGGTGGCCCAAGTTCCCAGACGCTGGGCTCAGCACCTGCACTGGACCTCCATCAAGCCACGGAGGCTCCCATGTGGGGACAGAGCTGGAGGGAGGGGCTGCCCACAAGGCCCACTGGGCTGGGCACATGCCGCCAGGCCTGCCCCTGACAGCCTCTGGCTCCCTCCTGAAATGAGAGCTGCCCGCAGGACAGGGCTTTGGCTCCTCTGGGAGCATTCAGCTGAATGTGCTGCGTGCAGGGAGGCGACATGGCCGTGGCACCCCCCCCGGAACATTCCAGCAAAACAGAGCCCCCCACTGGGGAATGAGGCCCTCTCCTGTGGTTGCTGGGCATACACCCTCCCGACGGCCACGCTGGCTGAACAGACCTAGTGTGGCCGTAGAAATTGTCACGATTCTGTGCTGGCATCATCCCCTTGGGGACGGAGCGGACCTCCACTGCCCTGACATGCTGGTTGTCACACACCGAGAAGACCGTGTCACCCTTCGCTTAGGGGTCAAACCTAAGCGAAGGGTCCCGCCTGCCCGTGACAATTTCTACGGCCACCCCTGCCCGCAGGACAGGGCTTTGGCTCCTCTGGGGCGATGGAAGCCCCTGCCTCACGTCTGAGTGGCTTGAGCTGTCTGAACTGAGCAATAGCGGAGGGGGATGCTCCCCCTCCTCCTTCCCGGGCCACACCTTCTAGAAGGTGCAGGGAGGCAGGCCCAGAAACAGAGGCCTGAGAAGGCCAGGGAACGTGGCCCCGGCCCCACGAGGCTGGGTCTGAACATGGCCCTCCTGCTCTTCCCCAGGACGAGCCAGACCACATAGGACTATGGTCTAGCTGGTACCTTGGCCCACCTGGCCTGGGATTCTCTGCTGACTCTGGCAGTCTCCCAGAGGCCCAGGAAAAGCAGCAGTGCCCCGGGCCCCCGAGACCCCAGGGCTGACCTCTTCAACCAGGGTGCCCCGAGGCCTGGCCCTAGCTCGCCTACTCTGCTCAGCCCGGCAGGCTGCTTTCCCTTTAAGGGCCAGCCCAGGGCCAGCTAAGTGGTCCCCACCTGCCGGAAGGCCGCGAGGGAAGCGCCATGATACCAACCCTTCCTGTAGATCTCCGCATTGGCTTCGGCCTCGGTCAGGGCCTGTGGCAGCGACGTCAGCCAGCAGGGCTGGTCCTCCAGCAGCAGCGTCAGGGCAGGGCCCTGGTGGGGGGGGGGGGGAAGGAGGGGGCTCATCAAGGACCCGGCACGGGAAGATGCTGGCCGAGGGTCCCGCGTGGCACCCAGGGAGGGGCCCGTGACCCCCTGGCAGGGAGGCCAGGCTGCAGCCTGCTGCCCCTAACTGGGCGCTGTGCAGCCAACAACGAGCAGGCAGCCGGCACCTCCCACGTGCGGGGCGTTGGGCTCTCTTGGAAACTGAGGCCCAGGGAGCGGCGGAGCCGGGATTCGCGCCCCATCTGTGTTCTCGCCCTGCCTCCCTGCTGTGGCAGGCTGCTGGGTGCTACGGGGCAGCCCGTGGGGCACACGGGCCAGACCGAGCACGGGTTCCTCCCACACAGGCCCCCAAAGTGAGCTCCCAGAGCTGAGGCTGAGAGTGGCCTTGAGGAGACGGTGTCTCCCCAGAGAGGGGCTTCTAGGTCCTCCCCAAGGTTGGGGGGTGGTTCCCTGCCTGCTACAGGGCATGGCAGGCCCACCTCTGTCCCGTCCACCCTGAGGCCAGCCCACGGCAGACACAAGCACATCCTCCTGGGCCCAGTAGCTGAGGCCCCCAGGCAGCAACATGACCCCATGCCAAGGGTGGCTTGGCCTCCCTGCGGCTCCCAGAGACTGACATCCGTGTGTGGGGTTAGGGCGGAGGGGGAGAGGGGGCAAATGGCGTGGCTCACGCCAGCACCACCTCGCCCCTCCACCTCCGCCTCCTGGCTCTGTCCGCAAGCTGGGCCTTTGCAGTGCCTGGAAGGCAAGAGTGCTCTGGGCTCAGCCCATGAGGCTGCTGCTGGGGGCCTGCAGAGTGGGGCTCCCTGATTTCTGACACCCAGGGCCACCCCAGCAGGAGAGGAAGCACACTGGTGCCAGGGAGGGAGGGCAGCCTGCGGCCCCGCTCTGCGGCCTGGCCCCTGGTCAGACATTGAGACCAGGCACAGGTCTGTGGGGGCAGAACCCTGGCCTGGCTTTGCCCTAGGAGGTTGGGGTGACCCCTGCCACATCGGGCCCTCAGCCCCAGTGCCAGGCCTGGGGTCTGGGCCGGCTGCTCCGACCAGGGGTGCCCAAGCTCTGCCACCAGGCACAGTACGCACCCACTTTGGGGCTTTTGTTTTATGCAAATAAGTGCATTTTATTCAGAAATGGTGCATGGGGACCTTGCGTTGGAGAACAAGTATCACCTGGAAACGCTGCCACCTAGACTGGGTGGCTGTGTGCACCCCAGGGGCCCACGCAGCCGCCGGCCGGGACACCACCATGGTGGGACATGATGGTGTGTGAGGTGTCCTCCGATTCTGGGTACCTCCCTGCCAGGTCCAAGCCCGGGTGCTTCCCTGGGCTTTGCCACCTGCCCATGGACAACACAGGCTCGAGAGCCGGGCTTTGGGGTCCAGGCCAGGCGTGGCCTCCCCTGCTGTGACCTTGAGCTGAGTACCACCCTGCAATCCGAGGTTAGCCCTCTGTCCACTCTGCCCGCTCGTCCCTACCCTGCGGCAGGCTCAGGCCCACGAGCCAAGCGCTCCTGGGGAGACCCCTAACAAGGCTGGGGCAGCGTGGCCAGTGGGGTGGCCATGGAAGGGGCAAGTGGCTACTAGTGGCCAGGGGGGCAAGCTCTAGCCGTGGGAGCAGAAGCGGCCTGCACCCATGCCTGCCCTCTCTGCAAACGGGCACTGCCCCTCATGCTCGGAGCTGTGACCCAACCCACGTGCCTGTCGCAGGCCTGCCATTGCCTTGCTACCTGCTCCCGGTGGTGGGGCTGGGTGGTCGAGGCCTCTCTGCCACTCAGCCCCTCCTAGGGCACTGGAAGCATCGATCTGCGCGAAGCCCTCCCTCCCAGCCGTGCCCACCTGTGCGCAACCAGCACACAGAACACAGGAGCCCCCCTCCTCCTTGCTTTCACCTTCCCTTCGACCGGCAGGACACAGCAGGTGAGGGCTGCGCCTTTGGATGCAGAAGGCTGGGGTCCACTGGGGCCCCAGGTCAGCAACTGCCACAGGTCAACTCAGGGAGAGCATCTCTGCCACGACAGGCAAACCCTGCTTTTTGCAGACACCTGGTGATCCCGCAGCTGGGGGTCCCGCCGGCTCAAAGGCTTCTGCTGGGGCCACAGTTGCGGGGGGGGGAGGGGGCACAGCGGCCGGGCGGGGTTGCCACCGCGGCAGGTGACCGGTGGCCCCCACGTCCAGCTGCACTGACCTGGAGAGCAGCTTGCAGTAAGGCGGGGCCGGGCCTCCTGAGTCTCTAATGAATATTAATGAGCAGAGGAGGGTGAAAAAAATTAATCTGCCTGATCCTCCGATTGGCGCTGTGGTAACGATATGAAATCTAATTATTCGTCCCAATATTTCTAACCCTCAAACTGAGACTGACAGCCTCCCGGTAGGTTTAATGCTTATCACTCCCAGAAGCTGCGTGCTCCCAGCATGATAAAAACGCGCACGGCTTTGCTGACGCTGCAGAACCCCTCGTTCTCCGTGTACTGCCCGCGAGCGAGGGCGGCAGCGCTGCGGTCCCGCCAGGGCCCAGCGCCCGCGTGGCGACGGCGGGCAGGCCGGGAGGACAGGGAAAGGAGCAGAACGGGCCGGGGGGTCTGGGGCCGCCCGACTCGGCCCGTGACCCCTTGATGCTGGGGCATGGCCCCCCCGCCACTTGAATGGGGGCGGCTGGGGACATGACCTTCCATGGCCTCTCTCCCAGGCCTGCGCTTTGGTCCTAGGGGTGTGGGGCCACCACCCGGGGAGGGTCTGACGGGTTTTTCTCTCCTTCTGCCCCAACCCCCCCAGTTCTGAGCAGCCCAGGAACAGAAGCCCCTTTCTCTGGTGGCTGAAGGCGTTGGGCCGAGGCAGGCCCTCTTCCCGGCCGGCGCTGCGCTGCCCGTACGCAGGGATGTGGGGTGTAAGCCTGGGAGGGGCTATGTGTTGCTTCCCTGCCTGGCCTGTGCTGCCGGCCACCTTCCCTCCACAGGCACCCCCGGGTCCCATCTGGGTCCAGCTCACCCCGGACCGGCCGTGTCCGGGTTCAGGAAGAAGCCTCTCCACCCACCCAGGCTGCAGCCCCTTGCGGTCGTGCCTGTTCCTCCTGGCTCCAGGATGGCCCCACCCGGCCCTGAGATAATGGGCGGCCACTTGAAGTTCTCTGGGTGCATCTGAGACCACTCCTTGTTTCCCCGAACAAAGAGGTCAATGTCTGGATTCTATGCCTGCCGATAACCATCAGAAACTCTATCTCTGCACCATCCGCTGTGACTTTATCTGAGGCTGATCCCAAACCTTGCGGGCCATCTCATGAAACAGCATCAAGGGGACAGGGAGGTAGGGGCCCCATTCAGGCAGGGGAAGGGGGTGGCCCAGCCCAGCGAGCCAGACCGCCCGGCAGAAGGTCAGTGGGGCTGCCCAAGCCTCCTCCGGGCCACTGTGGGGCAGGCTCATGGGAGGTCAGGGCTGGGGCAGGGCCCCCACCCACCTCCTTCCTTCAGCTCATCCTGAGAAGTCATGTCTCTGTGTCCTGCTTGCCCTCCCAGAGCCAAGTGACTTTCTGTCCTCGGCTCTTCCTCTCCCCCAGACCCTGCAAAGAACCTACTTCACAGATGAGAATTGAGGCCCACAGAACTGAGTGATGCCCAGGGCCACAGGAGGTGGATGTGTGTACACAGGACGAGAACTGGGGTCTGCATGATCTTCGCTTCCTTCCATCCACCCACCATCCACCTACCCCCCCTTCCCCCCCTCCACCACCTACCCATCCACCCATCTACTCAACCATCCATCCATCTATCATCCATCCACCCATCCATCCATCCATCCATTTGCCCCTTCACCCACCTATCCTTAACTTCCTGCCTCCACCCATCCATCTGTTCATTTGTTGAACAGTCCCCCAGAGCCTGGTGTGTGCCTGGTGTGGGGGGACCATGAACAGAACATGCTGTCCTGATCTCCCAGTGTGGATGCTGGAGTGGGGAAGCTGATAGGAAACAACCAATGGAGGCAGAACGTGCTAGAGACACAGGCTGAGAAGAGCATGGAGTGTGGTGGGGGTGATGTGGGGAGCTGTGTGGACAGCAGGGATGTGGGCCAAGTGGCCCCCAGCCCTCTTCCTCGGGTGGCCCTTGGGCTTAGGGAGGGAGCCAGCTGTAAGCGTGGGTCTGGTGCCCATGGCTGCCCTGGCCCCAGTGTGGCGGGAGGTGTCCCAGGGTCCCTCAGACCAGGCGGTTCCTCCTCCTGGGCCTCCAGGAGGCCGGTCGGATTTGACCCTTTGCACCCACAGCATCTCCCAGACCCTGCTCCTACAAGTGCAGGTGGAGAGGCTGAGGTGTGGGGGGGAAGGGAGTCAGAGACCCAGAAAGGGCAATGGCAGGCCTCCTGTCCAGAGGATGTCCACCTCAGAGCGCCCCATACTGCCTTCCTCACCACCCTGGTACTCCAGCCAAGCCTGGACCTGACCATCTCCTCAGGGGCTGCCCCATGGAGGGTCAGAGGCCAACCTGGGCTGGACCCTGGCTCTGCTGCTTGCTAGCTCCGTGGAGCAGGCTGAATGTGCCCCCAAAGACATGTCTACCCAGAGCCTGTGGACACAGCCTTATTTGGAAAAAGGTCTTAGCAGATGTGATTAAATTAGGAACAATCCAGATGACATCCTTCTAGATTATCCAGTGTCCTAAATCCAGTGCCGAGTGTCCTTATAAGAGCAAAGAGGCAGAGGTGGGTGGCCCTGCCGGGAGGCTGGGCTCTGCTAGGCAATGACCCCTGGTACCAGCCTCAAGGCTTCTTGCACAAGGGCTGCTCAGAGCCCACGGGGCCCTGAGGGCCCTGGCCCCACTGCCATCTCCAGCTGAGGGATGGGGGAGACCCACCCAAGGTCCCTCTATGCCAATCCCTGCATGAAGATGCATGACAGGGCAGGGCTCAGCTGGTCTCATTCCAACCACTCCGGAAGGGGCTTCTCCCCATTGGACCTGCTGTCCTCCTGGGCAGCCACAGCCCCCGCTGCCAGGTCTCACTGATGTCATGGTGGTCTCATGGCTATAGTGGGTAAGCCCTGGGGGGACTACTGGACAGATGGGT